TAAATTAAGGATTTTTCCAAATATGAAAAGGCACTTAATAAAAGAAGCTTTGTTTAGAGTATGCCCACTCCTTTTATTCACAAAATAAAAGATGAAGAAGCTGTTAGCAAGAATATCACACCAAAGGAACTAGTTCAGACTTCTGACTTTTTTCTTCTTTTTTTTTCTCTTTTTAATATTTGTGTGTACATAGTAGGTGTATATATTTAGGGGGTACAAGAGGGATTTTGATACAGGCATGTAATGTGTATGAATCCCATCATAGAAAGTTGGGTATCCATCTCCTCAAGCATTTATCCTTGTGTTACAAATAATCCAAGTATACCTTTAGTCATTTTAAAATGTACAATTCAATTATTATTGACTGTACTCACCCTGTTCTATCAAATACTAGGTCTTATTCATTCTTACTACTTTTTTGGTACCCATTACCCTCCCCACCTTCCTCCAGTCCCCACTGTCCTTCCCAGCCTCTGGTAATCATCCTTCTACTTTCTGTCTCCATGAGTTCGAATGGTTTGATTTTTAGATCCCACAAATAAATGAGAACATGCTATGTTTGTCTTTCTGTGCCTGGTTTATTTCACTTAACATAATGACCTTCAGTTTGATCCATGTTGTTGTAAATGACAGAATCTCATTATTTTTAATGACTGAATAGTACTCCATCATGAATAAATACCACATTTTCTTTATCCATTCATCTAACCTAAGTTGATGGACACTTAGGTTGCTTCCAAATCTTAGTGAACATGCTGCAACAAACATGGAAGTGCAGATATCTTTACAACACACTGACTTACTGTATTTCTTTTTTTTTGAGACAGAATCTCCTCTGTTGCCCAGACTGGCGTGTGGTGGTGCTCTCTCAGCTCACTGCAACCTCCGCCTCCCAGGTTCAAGCAATTTTTCTGCCTCAGCCTCTCAAGTAGCTGGGACTACAGGTGCCCACCACCACGCCTGCTAATTTTTGTATTTTTAGTAGAGACAAGGTTTCACATATTGGCCAGGCTAGTCTTGAACTCCTGACCTCGTGATCCACCCACCTCAGTCTCCCAAAGTGCTGGGATTACAGGCATGAGCAACCACACACAGCTGATTTACTTTCTTTTGGGTATATACACAGTAGTGGGATTGCTGGATTGTGTGGTAGTTCTAGGTTTAATTTTTTGAGGAGCCTCCAAACTGTTCTCCATAGTGGTTGCACTAATTTACATTTCCACCAATAGTGTACAAGGGTTCCCTTTTCTCATATTGTTGTCTGCATTTGTTATTGCCTGACTTCTGGATAAAAGCCATTTTAACTGGGATGAGATGATACCTCATATAATTTTGGTTTGCATTTCTCTGATTAATGATGTTGAGCACCTCTTCACATGCCTGTTTGCCATTTTTATGTCTTTTTTTGAGAAATGTCTAAATATTTTGCCCACTTCTATTTTTTAAATATTTATTTATTTATTTTGAGACAGGGTGTTATTCTGTCACCCAGACTGGAGTGCAGTGGTATGATCTCAGTTCACTGCAACTGCTGCTCCCCTGTGTCCGGCTCTAGTGATCCTCCCACCTCAGCCTCCTGAGTAGCTAGTATTACAGGTGCATGCCACCACGCTCTGTTAATTAAAAAATTTTTTTTTGCTGGGCGCAGTGGCTCAAGCCTGTAATCCCAGCACTTTGGGAGGCTGAGACGGGTGGATCACGAGGTCAGGAGATCGAGACCATCCTGAATAACACAGTGAAACCCCGTCTCTACTAAAAAATACAAAAAACTAGCCGGGCGATGTGGTGGGCGCCTGTAGTCCCAGCTACTCGGGAGGCCGAGGCAGGAGAATGGCGTAAACCCGGGAGGCAGAGCTTGCAGTGAGCTGAGATCCGGCCACTGCACTCTAGCCTGGGCGACAGAGCGAGACTCCGTCTCAAAAA